ACCGTAAGGTAAAATAAACTAATGTAAATGCAAAGTAAAATAAAGTAAGCGCGGCGAATGGTGTAATTGTTAAATTCCTTGCGCAAGATCGTCGTTAAACGTTGTCCAGGAGCGTTGAGTCGAGCCATATGGAAACTACGAGATTTTGCATTTGAATGTGGAGGCGGTCCGGGTATGGAAGTACCATAACACCTCGATCTTAAAGGTAGAAACAAGTCGATGCTCGTGGATAATTTGAGCCGTTACTTTGCTTGAAAGATACAGAGAGAGAGAGAGAGAGAGAGAGAGAGAGAGAGAGAGAGAGGGGGAGAGAGAGAGAAAGAGACTCTTACTATAAATATCTCTTCTTAGCGGGGAGAAGGGAGATTTACGATCTAAGGTAAGAATCGATATCTGTCTGGCAAAAGTTACATCGAGTTATAGTCGTCGATTGAAAACGTAACGAAAAATCGTGCTGGTTTTTAAAACTCTTATCGTACTTTGAGAGAAGCATCGCTTCTGGTACTTTGCTTTAGACGCCATTTCTTGAAAGACCTTGGCGGTGATACTTACCAGCTTGGAAACGTTCCATGCACTATCTATCTCTCTCTCTCTCTCGCAACATGTGTAGTTAGGTGCACAAGGATTACACGAGCTTACAGTACCTACTCCGGTGCTCATTAACATGCATTCACGCCGCAATATTTATCGTTGTCGGTTTCTCGTAACAGCGGCGCGTCTTAAACGCAACTCGCGCAAAACGCTCTGTTGTCCTCGACTTGGACGCGACCACACATCCAGATTCTAGATAAAGTCGCCACACGAAACGCAGACGTTACGCACGCACAACGTACGCGTATTTACTTGCGTACACGCGAACACCATCACTATCACCACCATCACCACCATCATCACCAGCATCACCACCACCACCTTCGTCGTCGTCGTCGTAGCTACTTCCACGTCTTTTCGTATCGTTCCTAACGTTCTTACAACCAACTCGCCTAAGCTTCTTGCGCGAATCACTTTGTCGTCGTAGATATCCTCGTTTGTAAGACGATGCGAGTTTCTCGATGGAATGTGCGAAAGTTAACAACATATAAGTACGTATTTTATTTTAACATATTCATTCCTATTCCCCTTTTTTCCCATCCTTGTTCGTTTTAACAAATAAACTTTTTCTTTAAGATTCGACGAGAATCTTCTTCTTTTTGTTTTTTTTCTTTTCGTTTTTTTTTTTTAAACCATCTAATCGTCATATGATTAGTGGGAGAAATATAAAAGAGATTTAGACACGTCATTTAATTCGATCGTACTTATTCGATTTCTATGCTATTGCTTTTTGTTCCTTTTTTTATTTTCTTCTTTTCTTACTCCTTTACGATCTGACAAATAAATTCTTTTCATTTTTAATCCATTCAATATCGTATTCGTCTTTTTATCTTGTCATATTATAAGTAATCTTTTTTCATATAATAAAGTAATCTTTTTTTCTTCTTCTTCTTCTTCTTTTCTTTTTTCGATCGAACGAACGAATAAAGTTTCATTTTAGTATTTCGTATACACGTATCATCGATCCAATAATACTTGGAAAAATCAGCGTTAAAAAAGATTTAAAATAACTCATGGAATAAATAATAAGAAGATAACGTATTATTTGATCATTTCACACGCGTCGACAGCGAGTCCTCGCTGTCGACTCGGAAAAAGAGGTTTAAGGTAAACGTCGTAGCGTGAGCGATTAATCAAATGGATATTAAGGTCGCAAAGCCTATCTCTATGCATTGCTCGTTCCTAACCGGTCCTTCGAGGCTTGGCGCCAAGCATAGCTTTTACGATATTACTTGGGACGCGAGTAATGCTCCTTCTATCTCCATCTCTTTCTCTTATTAAATAGGAACGAACGAGAAAGAGAGAGAAATCGTGACCTCGAAGAGACGAAAGATCGATTCCAAGCAAAACTTTTTTCCATCCGTCGCAATAAAATATATTCGATTATAGTATCGCCGCATGAACGAATAATCTGTTGTATCTAATTATTTTTAATGAATATTATTATCTCGGTTTTTCTCGATAAAAAGTGATGTCAACTCAGCGGGATTGGTAAAAAGTACCAATGTTGGGTTCTTCATTGGTAGCACCGTGGGAGATCGTCCTCGGAAGTAGGAAAGAACGGTGAACGAAGAAGGAGGACGAGGATGAGAAAGAGGAGGGAAACTAGTCGAGTATAGTGAACGTTCAGCCTTATACAGGAGAGAGGAGTTAGCCGTTCTTATCTGCATCTGTCTATTGCGTTCTTTTACCCCCCAAAGCAAAGCGCACAGTCCAAGTTCGAGAAGAAACTTGACGCGTTCAGTCGATTAGCATAGCTCTCTTGGGATCTTTAGGAATTTACCGTATAAGGTAATATAAGGTTGTTCCTTACCTCTCTCTTCTTGTTTTTTTCAATCAGAAAAAGTCGATCGTCATCGTCACCTAATTTTTGTTTCTGCGTGAATATGTAATCGACCGAGGGAAAAAAAGAAAGAAAAAAGAAAAAGGAAGAAGAGAGAGAGAGAGAGAGAGAGAGAGAGAGGGAAATAAAAAAAAACCAACAAAAACCTCAAACTTTTATTCTAAAGCGGATAAAATAAGGAAGAGAATCTTTCTATACATGGTCGAACATATGTAACACAAACCAAGTCGTTCCTCCTTTTTCAGCTTTTCCACCAATGATATCTCTAATCCAGCAGTCAGTCACTCACGCGGAAAATCTTAATTAAAGTCGATCCAGAAGTGCAAGTTACTTTAGTTCGTTTAAAAAAAAAAAAAAAGAAAGAAAAGGAAAAAGTAGAAGAGAAGTCCAATACCGAAGTAGCATTGGAATGGAGTAACGTTTACGTAATACTTTCCTGAAGTACAAGAAGGTTGATGACTCCTTTGAAAATGAAAATATCAAGGAAAGAGGAAATAAAAGTAAATAGAGGGTAGATAGATAGATAGATAGATAGAAAGAGAGAGAGAGAGTGAGAGAGAGAGTGTGAGAGAGAGAGAGAGAAAGGAAAATAGAAACGCGTTAGAAACGGTGACGAAAGCACTTGCCATGAACGTTTCTGCGTGCGAATTCACGGATGCAAATCAGGCAGGTAGTTCGAATGTGCGATTGTGCTGTGGCACGCGAAGGCGTACACGGTCTTTGGTGCGCAAACTTGTCAAGAGGATGCTTGCCTCTAGAAATAAGCTCCGTCGTAAAACAACCGACGACATGCCAACGTAATTAAGTCTCTCTCTTTCTCTCTCTTTCTTTCACTTCTAAGACATCATTCGTTGCAAATGGATTGTCCTATTCACCCCCATAGAATTGAAGCAAATGCAAGGTGTTATACAAGGGCAAAATCAAAAGTAATTAACACTTTCGTTTGTTTTTATTTGTCATCATCGACTAATAATAATAATAATAATAATAATAATAATAATAATAATAATAAAAGAATTCATTATTATTATTATTATTATTATTATTATTATTAGCCACGTTAATAATACTTTACGATAGTTGCGTATAAATTTATACGCAACTATAGGTATTATAGATACATTGTATGTATATATATATATGTATGTATGCATGTATGTATGTATAATATAAATGTATCTTTACAATAAGAATCACGAGATCAGATCAGACATTCGTCATTTACTTCTGCACCGGTTATTGAACAATATACATACATACCTTTTACTTGTTACGGATCAACCATAATAGTTGTAATACTTTTTCGATCGATACGAGCCGCATTTACGATATAAAATATTTATCTCGGGTCTTTTATAAAAAAGTATTATTTTATGAAAGAGAACATTCGTGGAAAATAAGTATGACATTATCAGAAAATCATCGGATTTACATTCAAGTGCTTAGTATTATTATCTAAAAAAGGATCTACCGTTCTTTGTTTAATTAATTATTATGATTCATAATTAAATTATTCGGAGTACTCGACGATAAATTTTTAAAGTTTTTGTTGGACAAATTTTGGGATAATACACACGTACACACACATACACACATATGTAGGTGTAGTATCGGCCACTAACAAACCTTATCCATGGTGATTACCAACAAAATGATGGGTAATCATCAGGGAAGCGAGAGAAATCTAGGTAGTTTCTAGGAATATATTAATAACATCATTATACATTTCCTTGAATTCATGGAGATTATCGTACGTGCCAAAATGTGGTTTGGCCTTTAGCTAAAATAACCGAGCTTCGTGTAAACTGTATACCATTTGAAGGTGGATGGAAGAGGAGAAAGGGGAAAAGGAGAAAGAGCGACGTGGTCGATGCCTAGGACAACTTGTGTTCCTTTCCCTCGTCGCGTATCGATCCTCAACTCGTCTTCGTGTCGACGGGAGAAGAGAGGAGTAAGAGGGATAAGAGGACAACGTTGACGCACGCGCCGTATTCACCATAATGACAAAGCACATGAGGCTTTCGTAAAGTGTCAATTCCTTGCCGATGCGGGTAGGTCGGGGACAGAGAGTCAAAGTCGAGCCAAGTAAGAAATATTGAATTCATTAAATGCATTATATATATATATATATATATATATGTGCACACATATATGTAGAGACATATGTATGAGCGAATGTAAGCGTGCAACCTGGTGGTAGATATGTATGTAATCATCAGGCCATAATTAGCCTGTTGTGTTGCGGCTGATAAAAGAGCGTCTAGAGAGTAACGGAGATAGAGAAAGATTGAGAGAGAGAGAGAGAGAGAGAGAGAGAGAGAGAGAGAGAGAGAGAGAGAGATACCAATAGGTGAGTGACCTCTCGCCTCGGGCGGGGTTCACCGTAGGGTCTTTGGTAGGGGTCGAAAGGGACTGAGACTCTCTCTTTCCCTCTCTTTCTACTATAGTCTTCTCTTTCTTTCTCGCGCTCGTTCACCTCTTCCCTTCCTCTAACATCAGAGGCCGATCTATTCGTCCCCATCTCTCTTCCTCTACTCTCTCTCCTTCTCTCTCCCTATGTCTTTAGTTCTAGTCGAGGACAACGACCCCTCGGTCACCTGGAAGAGGACCCACTTCACCAAGAAACTCGTCAATTTTTCGCCTATCGATCGTGGAAACTCTCCTTCGAGGTGGCCAAGGGGAATCATCACGCGAACAGCGACGTGCCTCTACACTTCGACACGCGATCCCATAAGGATTCAAGACTTACTCCCACGATGCGTTGTGCGGCACGTCTCTTACTACCAACCTACACGCAGCTCTCTTACACATTCATGTCAGCCAGCTAGCCAGCCAGCCAGCCCACCTGCTCTCCAAGACCCACGCCTTGAATAGCGCCGCCGCGAGGGATTCACCGAACGTGACTTCAATTTTCGATTATGGTTTAAGCGAAAGTTTTTGGTTAACCCAAACTCATACTCGAGAATCACGGACAACTTTCCATAATGGTGACGCTTTTTTTCGTCGGTCGGTCAATTGATCCATTGGTACAATGGTCCATTGATCCATTAGCCCTTTTAGATTTATAAGTCTTCCGGGAATTCGTTTGAACGAGACCCGACACCTACCTACCTACCTACCTAACTACCTAACTACCTATCTACCTACCTACCTCAACCACCACTATCGGTTAGTCGCCAGACAATGGCTCCTATCTCGAACGCTTGCATGAACGCGCACGCTTATAGATCGCACCAATTATATGCGCCGTCGTAAACTGCCGTGCGATGACTCAATTTGTTCCGCATATTATCCCGCAGATAGAGGCGCCGTTACTTTACATAATTTCCATCTAACAATCGCAAGCCTCGTGTATAATTATAGGTGTGTTTCCTCGTTTAAATGTTTATCACGTCGAACGGAAGCGAGATTGCTTCTATTTCGTATATGATAACTATTGATACACATGAAATCTTACCTTATGTACCTCGTGTACATTTATATCGATATATACGTGTAATAACATTGCGGCGAGTATACATGCGACATAATATATAAGATTGCAAAGACGAAACAAATTCAGATTCCGAAGCGTCCTGTACCTGTAACATTACATTCTTCGTTTTTTTTTCTTTTTTTTTTTTTTTGTAGATTTTCAATTTAAAATAATGCGAGACATTTATGACCTCTTTGTATTACTTAATGTGTCACAAAGCCGACCTCTCTCTTTCTTTCATTAACTTTTATAAGCAAAAGTGTTTTTTGCCGCGACTAAAAACCGAACGACTTAAGAAGGTGGAACGTAGTAATATATGTACGCATGCAGCCTTCGTTTTATTTTATATTACTTTTACTTTGTTATTTATCTACATATATATCTTAAACTTTTAATTTTTAAAACATTACGAAGTTTGGAAATTGTTTCTTTATTTATGGTTATTTTTTTTCTTCTTCGTTGATAGGGGAAAAAGGAGGAACGATGATCATCGTTCGCGGTCGATTTGATGATGATTTTGGTTTCAAGACCATACAAATAGAATTTAATTTCCAAATTATTCCGACGTTGGCTGGATGTTTTTCTCTTGAAAGGGGTAATTGACACGTCTCAACTTTTGCGAGATAACGTTTATGGAATTTTACTTGGTGTAATCGACGATCATCCACAAACGTCGAGTGTTATGACAGCGGCTACATACGTTGGGAAATATTCTTGGAATCCGTTGAGTGCTCGAGTACGACATTAGTCTACAACTAACGTTGGATTTTGTTTATAGAAGGTGTCAAATTATTGCACTTGTTTATTACCAGAGTATTAAGCCGATGACGAATATCTTTCATTCCATTGATCATAGCGTCATTTTTCTTTACTTAACATTCCTTGAAAATTGACTGATAATATTTCATTACCGGTAATTGTATTATATCGAAAGAGATGTAATCGATAAAATGTATTCCTACGAAAAAAAAAAAAAAGAAAAAAATAAGTACCTACAAAAAAAATATACATTATTACGAAAGAGTATCGGTCGAATGATAGATAAGTTTGATTTTACTAACGAGACGATTGATCTATATTCGATAATACACGCGTACATGAAATATACTTCAATATTAGAAAATTATTAAATAAATTTTATATCCCTATTAAACGAATTAAATAATTCATTATTCCTCATATAGTAATCGAAGATTTATTCCCGTCTTTCTATGCGTTTTTTCTAAACAACGAAAAAAAAAGATATAAAAAATAAAAAAAATAAAAGAACGAAGAAGAAGAAAAGAAAAGAAGAAACAAAAGAGACAAATGAAAATAAAATCGGATTCTTGGACATTTGTATTACTTTTAATCTTATAACTTACATACGTATTGTATATCGAATGAAAGGATAATAACCATGGAAAGAATTAACATAATCATATTAACTACCTGCAAGCTCATCGAAGAGGTCGTCTTATCTAATTGCTTCATTAGTCGTAATATCTATTAATTCCCGTAATTCCCGTCTTTCTATGCGTTTTTTCTAAACAACGAAAAAAAAAGATATAAAAAATAAAAAAAATAAAAGAACGAAGAAGAAGAAAAGAAAAGAAGAAACAAAAGAGACAAATGAAAATAAAATCGGATTCTTGGACATTTGTATTACTTTTAATCTTATAACTTACATACGTATTGTATATCGAATGAAAGGATAATAACCATGGAAAGAATTAACATAATCATATTAACTACCTGCAAGCTCATCGAAGAGGTCGTCTTATCTAATTGCTTCATTAGTCGTAATATCTTATTAACGAAGGAAGCGCGGCGGAACGTCGTAGGGATCGATGCGCTTATTAATCGTACGATCCACAACACGTGGTGCCGATGCGTAATGATCCAGCGAGAGCTCGCGCTAATTCGTGAGGCTTGCTTGGAGACGGTCAAAGCTGCCGGCATCGTATAACACAGGGAGATGCTGCTGCAGCATATCGATGCATTCTCGAGTATCCATGTTGTACGTATATGCATTTGAGCATGTATACATTCTCGTCAGAACGGTGTAAGGGACAAAGTACTGAACGTTGGTGTTCTCTCTCTCTCTCTCTCTCTCTCTCTCTCTCTCTTACACATACACGAGCACGTAAACGCGAACACGGCGTAGAGATTAGCTCGCATGGAAGATCCAAGCCGAGAGTTGGCTCGATCCGAGCAGCCTCGTGGGAAGTGCCCGCACCCCATAAAGAGAGTACATCGGGCTGGTAATCACGAGTCACTCGGTAATGATAACTATCTGACGTAATAGTAAATTCGTTATGCCGTCGATAAAGGTTATTCGCGAGTCATTACTCCGATTTCCCATTAGCCACGTGTATAATAAGCGGATATCGGCGTTTGCTCTGTTTCCATGATGTTATGTCGGAAGAGAGATATTAAGAAGGAAGGGGAGCGAAGAAAAACAAAAACAAAAAAGAAGAAAAGGAGGAAGAAGAAGAAGGAGAGGAAAAAAAAGGATTAATTAGACCTGATTGAGAGAGGTACACAATCAACCTGTATACAACCTTAATCGTTAATAATATAATAATGTGCCTGTGCATAATGGATATTAACGTGGTCAATGTAAAAGATATATAAGGTTGTAGTTTTAGGATTTTCTAACGTCTTGGATTCGTCACGCTATCGAGTCCTCTCGTTAATCGTTCGGCTCGCATGCGATAAGGAAGAATACAGTGAGGTGGTAACGAGGAATCCGTGATCCTATGTTCCCAGGTAGGAAGTGAAGAAGAAGAAGAAGAAGAAGAAGAAGAAGAAGAAGAAGAAGAAGAAGAAGAAGGGTGGTTGGCTATGGGAACCATCGGATCGTGGTTGTATGCATGTAGATGCCTAGGAGACTGGAGAGGCGCTAAGATCCTGAGAGAAAGAGAGAGAAAGAGAGAGGAAGAGAAATAGAAGAAGAAAAAGAAGAAGAAGAAGTCCACGTTGAGATAGGCTCGCTCACGAAGAAGGTGGTCTATTAGCTAGTTCTATAGCCCTTCTCCTCCCAGCGTTGCTAGAGGAAGTAGCCATATCTATGATCTTGTTCGATAAGATACGACAGGTAAAAGGAAGTTCGCGTGGCCTTTCTCACTCGAATACAAGCGTTTCGTTTTAGGTGTTAAGACTTAACAAACGTGCCCTACATTTCTTTATCCGTCGAGCAAGGAAGTACTTACATACATACGTCGTCGTAACGATTGAAAATCTACTTTTCTTTCAGTCTCGGTCAAGTAAAAACGAAATATAAAAGAAATAAGAAGAAAAAAGTCAACGAAAGAAAAAAATGAAAAAGGATGAGAAAAAGAGAAGCAGAGAGAGAGAGAGATTCCTGTGGAATCGTCGCCAAAGGAAGAGAACACGAAGGCTCGTGCTCTCTGTGTAAAGAAAGAGAGAAGTAAGTAAGCAAGCAAGCAAGCAAGCAAGCAAGTAAGCAAGCTGGGTTGGAGGGCGCAATACTCACGCCACGGATTCCACAGATGCAAATTCGCTTGAGCTATCGCTGAATCGTGAGTCTCTTCTTTGGCTTCGAAGGGAAAAGACAACAGGCTACGAATATAAGAACCGGCGTCTACGGAATCGAGAGATACTCTCTTTCTCCCTCTCTCTCTCTCTCTCTTTCTCTGTCTTTTTCATTCTCTTACTCTCTTTCTCTGTGGTGTATCGATGCCGTAGCAGTTCAGGTACGTCGATGCGGTACGTGGATGCAACATGGATGCAACGTAGATGCACCGTTGCACTTGCGCCACGATTCCAAAGGACCACAGCGGATGCATGATGTATATCCGCCACCGGGCTATGCAGTGGCGAATATGCAAACCAGTGGCTTGCCCGTACGAGGTCAGCTCTCTCTCTCTCTCTCTCTCTCTCTCTCTCTCTCTTTCTTTCTGTCTCTCTTTCTCTTTCTCGTTCTCTCTCTCTCTCTCTTTCTCTCTCTCCATTTCGCCTTCCAACATCTATGCACCCCCGCGACGTCCAAGCTGGGCCCCACCGAAGAACGAGTCGGTCAGCACAGAAGGAAGTCGTAAATCATTTATATCTGTATTTATATGTGAGCCCATACATATAGACGTTTCTCGGTTGGGCCCACTTTCTCACTACCGGTCTCGTAGATCGTTAACCCTTTAACGCTTGTTTCAAACGCTCTATTCTTTCGCATAGCCTTTTTTTCCTTTCCTTTTCTTTTCTTTTCTTCTCTTTTTTCTTCTCTCTTCCTTTTTCTCTTTTATTCCAGCAATTTATTTCCATTGAGAGAAGTTCAATTACCATTATTTTATTCTCTCGCTTTATAGTACTCTAACTTTCGATCTCGACAATGTACTTGCTTTGTGTTTGTCGCTGTCTTCGTTCTATCTAAGTTTTCTAACGTTACGCCGACTGATTTACACTTATGATCCCGACTACAGTTTTGTTAACTCTCCATCGACGCCGGCACCAATCATCCACGCTAACTACGATAAATATAGATTCTGACAAGTCGTTAAAGGTACGCCATGATTCGTGGCGGAGTCGATCAAAAGCAAAGCTTGATTGAGATTTATGCTGATAACATCGGCCGAGATATAAATACTCGACACCGTATGAAATCGCATAAATCTATTATCGGATCTATCCACCTAACCACACGGATTTCTTATTCTTCTCTTCGTCATCTTTGATCTAAAATTGTATTCGTCTTAATTATTTTTAAAAATTGTTCATATTAATACTAAAGATATTCATTTGGATAGAAAAAAAAACAAATTGACATTATATCAAATTTCTATAAAATAATTCTATTTTAATTCAAAATACAAGTGAATAATTATATTAAGGACATAATATATCATATTAATTGCTATTGTAGAATAAGGATATTATTTAATTAAATTAAAATATTAATCATTTATTTATTGTCCTTTTCAGTCTCGTTGTATTACTTATATTCATTTCAAAAAATCTATAGATTACGAGAAAAATAATGTGAAATAACTTCGAAGATTTAAACGAATATTTCAATAAGAATTAAGAATTCGTCGATAAGAATTCGTCGATAAGAATTCATTCGGTCGAATAAAATAATTGAAATTTTATCTTCAATCGGAAAGATTAATCTTCCAACGAATAGATATTACATTTATAATACTTGTAATGAAAATGTATACAATGGAACTACACGTATACATACACACACAAACACACACACATATATATATATATTTATATATATATATATATATATATATATATATATATATATATATATATATGTATCTACGTACATAGATAAAATCGAATGCAATTTCTCGTGTGAAAATTGCTTTCCAGGAGATTACATTAGAACGTAGAATATTCCAAATACTCTCGTCGACTTCTTGGTGTAATAGAGATGGAATAAGATGAAACGTGCGACCCTTGGAAATCGAGGGCGATCGTTCGAGATCTTTTCAGGGTTGCCTGTGAACTCGAAGGGAGGCATTCCTACACGAGTTAAATTTCTACCATCTCGTAATAATAGTAAAACTTTGAAATAAGGGATCGTGGGATCGTTGGTTCGGGGAAGAGGGAGAAACTGCAATGGCAGACGAGTGATCGAAGCACGAACGAAGATAGTAGAGAGTAGTTGCGCTATGTGCAACGATCGATATGCGATAGCACCCGGGATAACTCGCGGACTTCGCCATGGCCGAGTTCTCCGTGTATTATCCACTTGCGAGTTGTTATGGTTCTTCGATCGGGCCGGCTACTGGGTCAAGCGTCGATGCATCCAAGGGCACGAGAACTTGTTTGTAATTTTTCGATCGTTTTCAAGATTATCATGATTATCGTAAAAATCGTAAATCGATTTAAGGATTTATTTTAATAAAAATGAACGACTCTTAGAAAATCTAATCTTTCGAATATCTCGTTGCGTTCCTTTGATATTCGTGAAAAAGGAAACAAAAGCTTCTCCATTCTGAATGTGACATCATTGTTATAAGACATCCATTATATATTATCGCTAACAAGATCGTAGAGTTTTTCTTTTTATTTTTATTTTTTCTTTTTTTTCTTTTTTTTTTCGAATCACAAGAAAACAATAAA